AATCCCTGCTTTCCCAAAGGTTACTGGACAGTGGCTGCATATGCTACCCCAATTTATGCTGTTTGACATAATTATTTGAATTAAAAGCAACTGAAAAACTGCAGATGCGGTGCTGGAGCCTCTGTAGCCGAACCCCGACCACGCTGCTGTGCGCCCGAAGCTGCTCATCGTGCACTAGCGGTCCCAAAAGGTTCAAAGTCCGACAAGATGGCAACCCTCAAGGACCAGCTGATTGTGAATCTCCTTAAGGAAGAACAGGCCCCCCAGAACAAGATTACGGTTGTTGGGGTTGGTGCTGTTGGCATGGCTTGTGCCATCAGTATCTTAATGAAGGACTTGGCAGATGAGCTTGCCCTTGTTGATGTCATGGAAGACAAACTGAAGGGAGAGATGATGGATCTCCAGCACGGCAGCCTTTTCCTTAGAACACCGAAAATTGTCTCTGGCAAAGACTATAGCGTGACTGCAAACTCCAAGCTGGTTATCATCACAGCGGGGGCCCGTCAGCAAGAGGGAGAGAGTCGGCTCAATCTGGTCCAGCGCAACGTGAACATCTTCAAGTTCATCATTCCCAACGTGGTGAAATACAGTCCAAACTGCAAGCTGCTTATTGTCTCCAACCCAGTGGATATCTTGACCTACGTGGCCTGGAAGATAAGTGGCTTTCCCAAAAATCGAGTCATCGGGAGTGGTTGCAATCTGGACTCCGCTCGGTTCCGTTACCTGATGGGAGAAAGGCTGGGTGTTCACCCACTGAGCTGTCACGGATGGGTCCTGGGGGAGCACGGGGACTCCAGTGTGCCTGTGTGGAGTGGCGTGAATGTCGCTGGTGTCTCCCTGAAGAATCTGAACCCAGAACTGGGCTCCGATGCAGACAAGGAGCAGTGGAAGGAGGTTCACAAGCAGGTGGTTGACAGCGCCTATGAGGTGATCAAACTGAAAGGTTATACGTCCTGGGCCATTGGCCTCTCTGTGGCCGACTTGGCAGAGAGCATAATGAAGAATCTGAGGCGGGTGCATCCCATTTCCACCATGATTAAGGGTCTCTATGGAATCAAGGATGATGTCTTCCTCAGTGTCCCCTGTGTCCTGGGACAAAATGGAATCTCAGATGTTGTGAAGGTGACTCTGACTTCGGAAGAGGAGGCCCGCTTGAAGAAGAGTGCAGACACGCTCTGGGGGATCCAGAAAGAGCTGCAGTTCTAAAAGTCCCCAGATGTCCTAGCGCTTCACTGTCCAGGCTGCAGCACACTGTTTCCTCAGCTGAGCTGTGGTTAGGGTGGTTGTGTTCCCACAGCTCTACCCTGATGCTAAGTGGTACTTGTGTAGTGGTAACCTGGTTGGTGTGACACTGCCAACTGTGTGCAGGCTTCAGTTACCCTGTGAACCTGCTGTGTCTGTGCTGTGCACCCTCACCAGACATGCCTAGGCCAATGATTTCCCAGTTAGTCATAACCTGGCTCCAGTGTGTAAATCCATTATGCATATCTTGTGCATAACTGTTCCAAAGGATATTATTTTGTGTATTATGTATCTGTGGTGTACATTGAAATATTGTGTAAAGATCTTCATATGGATGATGCAACCGACTACCCAAGTGTCATGCCAACGAAAACACCAAATAAACCTTGAACAGTGAAAAAAAAAAAAAAACTGCAGATGCAAGAGACAATCCAATTCTTTCCCTGTGAATAGCGCCACGGTAAACACAGATAGATGAACAGGAGTCTGTCCTCTGACGACTTAACAGCTTTTCTTTCTCCCAGAAATGTTCTGAGAGTCTCTTACAAAAACACACAAACCCCAGCGTTTAATTATCCTAGAAATATAGGTGAAACTCGTGGAAAAATAGAGCAAAATAAGGCTTTGTATATGATCACTTTTTGTTTGTTTGTTTCTCTCCCATATACGGGAAATTAAATTATTTTAACACCTTTTAATTTTAGTTTTTTCAAGACAGGATGGAACTCACCTCTGCAGACCAGGTGGGCCCGCCTGCCTCTGGTGTGTGTCACGTGTGTGGTGACACGTCTTGCATGGTTTATTTTTAAATTGCTTACACTTATAGGTTTGTGAAAAGTGTCTTAAGTGCTGTCAAGTGGATAGCTCTAGTAAAGGTTGTCTTGGAAGAGGCGCAGTCGTGAAGGCCACCTAAATTGACACAACGTCTGTAGAAGCAAAACTACAGAGAGAACATGTACCGAAAAATAACAGTGGTAAAAAAGTAACCAAATAAAATAAACTGAGAAGAAATAGCTGGGTTTACGGTGGAAAATAAGACTTGCGCAAAGCACAGAAAAAACACTGACATACTCAAATCTGTAGGGAGAAAAAGACACAAGCTATTTTTAGACCGCAGACATTCCCCCGAGGGGGTGCACCGTTCCTGGAGGTACTGCAATACCAGGTCGATGCGTGGAGTGGACGGAGCAAGCTCCTATTCCAACTCCTACTTGCAAAAATCCATTTAATATATTGTCCTCGGATAGAGGACGTATCAGATATTAAACTGATAAGAACAGATACTACACTTGATCTTAGCCAAAAGGCCGAGAAGCGATAACGACACACAGCCAGACGCTTGCTCCACTAACAGGCACACCCACCTTTACCTTACGGGCACAAATAGGTCGCACCGACAAACACTCACCAGACACGAACTCTCTTGTTCTATCGTGAACACGACTTTTACTCTGTAAAATGCTTGTAAAAATCCAAGGAAGGGCGAGATTTTTTTCCTTGCACTTTTCGTTCCCAGAGTTCCCAGGAGACCGGGTCATGTCTTAATTTGCATGCCCCGCCCATCGCGCTTTCGGGCTCGGTGCTGCAGGAGTGGCTGATGGATCTACAGACTGATGCCAGCGGTTTTCCCAGGATTTTCACAATTTCCGGACACAGACTTGACAACAACTACCAAAAAGAGGTTCCCTCCCCCACCCACCCACTCCTCCTCTTATATCTAGTCCCTTCTGCATCGCGTCTCTCCCCGAGATGACTGACATTCCTGACTGAGCGGACTGGCTATCTCAAGGGCAGTGTTCATGCTGCCGGGCTAGCATGTCCTTATACTTTCTTGGTCTTCAAAGCTCTGAGCCACAATTCTGAAAACCACAATCCCAAGTAATCAAAACACCTAAAACCATTATTCTGGAAAAATAATAAGAATTGTTAAAAAGGTATTGATAATGTTTTGAAACCATCATTTATTTTAGCAACATAAAAAATGGCAGAACATTTTCCTGGCATTCATATTTTGGTAAGTATTACTTTCCAGATATACTAATGAAACTTTATCAAAGAAAGATGCCCACAGAGTAATTATATTCAGAAAGACCCAGATATAAGAAAATATAGGATAACAAATAAAAAATTACATTGATTAAGAAACAGATGAAAACAGAATACATGCATGTCTTAGAATGACTGACCTCTCTGAGCACCCAGCCCATAGCCCTGTCATACAAATTCTCATCGTGGTCAACCTGCTTTTTGATGAGCACCATCAAAAGTCACAACAGGTACCACTGCATATATAATCACCCCTAAGTTCCAAATGCTGAGAAATTTTATCCTTCACAAATGAAGATGTACAATGAGGACATCACTTCCTTTATGAAAGAAACACCAACATTTCAAATGCACAGTACTCGCATATAAACTCAATGCTGTAAACACCTTTGCAGGTGTTAATAATGTACAGCACAAAAATTATAAACTACTTATATTCTAATATAAACTTGAATATAAAATATACACACATCAAACCATAAAAGAACTATACCAACTTCTTAAAATCATACTTAAAACCATAAAGACTTCAAAAGGGAACAATGTTACAAAGAGAAACTGAGGCTCATGTTATAGTCCCATAGAGACCTTTTGAAGTCTTACATCAACAGAAACATTGTTTTTCTTAAGATACAATGAGCAATTCTACTCTTTTCCTATGTATCTTTGACCTTTTGGAAACCTCCCGTATTTTCTATTTGCTGCCTTGAGCTCTCCATTCACTTTCTGCAAACCCTGCGCCTTGCCTCTGTGATTTGGGACATGTGGAAAGTCCTTCCTGGGTTGTCACATACAATCACAGATTTAACAACAATAGCACACACAGCTGAGCAGAAGCACTGACCAAATGCTGCCTTACACGGCCTTCTTCATTGTTTTCTTCACTAACTTCTCTAGGGAGAGTGTCTTCCATGATTAGAGTCCCCATCCATTTCCTCAGCAAGAGGGATGGCTATGCAGATTGGGACATGGTTTTGCCTTTTAATTATTTCCATATGTATTTATTTTGAGGTATGGTCTCTCTTCACACCCCTGGCAGTCCTGGAACTCTCTATATAGACTAAGATGACCAGCCTTCCAAACTCTGAAATTAAAGTCATGGGCAACATCCCTGGCTTAGGGAAAAAAAATTTAAAGCCCTGTTTTACCATTGCCTTCTTTAATGGCCAATCCCTTTCCCAGAATTTTATTTCTATTCCTGTGAAGTTATTCAAACACATATTTTCCATATTTTAATAGAATGAGAGTGTAGAAGGAGCTGCAGGCAGGCCTGCTTTTCGTCCCACCCAGCTCCTGCACAGCTAGCTTATGCCACAAAATAATTACACGGAAATGGTATTCTTTTAAACACTGCTTGGCCCATTCATTCTAGCCTCTAAATGGCTAATTCTCACATCTTGCCTAACCCATATTTAGTAATCTGTGTAGCACCAGTCTTACCGGGAAAGATTCAGCATGTCTGACCTGGCGGATTGCTTCATCGCGTCTGCCCTGGAGAGGAGCGGCATGGCGTCAGACCTCACTTCCTCTTCCTCTCAGCATTCTGTTCTGTTTACTCCACTCACCTATGTTCTAACCTACCAGGCCAAGCAGTTTCTTTATTAATTAACCAATGAAACAACAGATTGATATGACACTCCCACATCATGAGAGAATATTATAGCCTACAAAATGTGAAATGTCATGGCACCAAAGCCCATTTCTATGACAGGCAGTCTCAAACATGAGTTAGGACAATCCTCGAAAAGTAAAGTATCTTATTCTATGTGTTTACAATTACAGAGGTAAACTGGTCACTCACTACAGTTTTACATCAGTCCACTATCCCTAAGACTTTAACAAGAGCTTTCTCTAAGTCCCTTACTGTCTTGGTTGTCAGATAATACTCTCTGGGGTAATTTATTATCGAGCTTGAATCATATAGAGACACTGCCCTATGACCCAAGTACGTTATCTTTATCGCAACACCTATTTTCCCAGTGTAACCGCCAAGATTTACCAGCTTCTGCTTTAAAGTCAGTGCAGTTTGTTTACAATCGTTCTTTAACTTAGTGCCCAGGTCCCTCAGAACGGAGCTGTCGCCTTCCAGCTCCTCCTCTCCCCGGACAAAGCTGTGCAGGGTCAGGAGACTGTCCTGGGAAATATGAAGCACATCCAAGATGACTTCCTGCTTCTTCTGTAAGCCCAGACTTAACGCCAAGCTCTCAGAGATGATCAGCGTTCCTTGACGAAGTGAGCCCAGCTCTGTCTGAAGGAACTGCTTATATCGTTCATGTTCTGAGCACAGCTCCATGCGGAGGTCTTCTGGAGAGCATGGCACCTTTCTAGCCAGCACTAGAAAAATAAATAAACATACCAAATTATAAAACAAAAATGTCATGAATGTCCTGTATGAGCTATCACCAAGCAGCTGGTAAGTCCCACACTTTGCATCACAACCCAGAAGGTGAACACACAAGACACCAAACGATTATTCAAGAACAGAAGGAAGGCAGTGCAAGGGGGACTTAGAAACTCAGACTCTGCAAAGAGAGAGATTTGGAAGCAACCGAACACTCACAATCCTGCCTTTTCCATAACATGGTGCATCAGGAGCCTGCTCTGGTACTCAATGAACGAGAAGAGTCAGGGGAGCAAAGGACAGACCTAGTGCTGAAGACAGAAAAGTCAGGCATCACCAAAGAGGTGATGAGACAGGAGGAAAGCAAGGAGACACAGGACGGCTCCACAGAGCAAAGGAGGGAGCAGAGCACATTCCCAGAGCTCCAGGGATGGGGAGAGGATGGATACCTCAGAAGACAACACGAGGTAGGCTAGACTTCCCTGTGAGCACAGACTGGCAATCACAGCCACAGGATAAACCCATAGTTCTTTTTTTTTTTTTTTAAAAGAACACACTTTATTTTTTTTCCTTTTCTTTTATTTATTTATTTATTTATTTATTATGTATACAATATTCTGTCTGTGTTTATGCCTTCAGGCCAGAAGAGGGCACCAGACCCCATTCCAGATGGTTGTGAGCTACCATGTGGCTGCTGGGAATTGAATTCAGGACCTTTGGAAGAGCAGGCAATGCTCTTAACCTCTGAGCCATCTCTCCAGCCCCAAACCCATAGTTCTTGAAAACCTTGTTTCCAGTATAGGAATTTGAAGGGACACTGTCACCTTCTACCTGTCAGGTTGACATTGGAGAGGAAGTCCTTTTTGTCTGTCCTCCTATGTCAGAATGTTACATGTAGCCAGATGCTATCTATAGTGTGTGTGTGTGTGTGTGTGTGTGTGTGTGTGTGTGTGTGTGTACTTGTGGGCTGACAGCGTGTATGGGGTGCTTACTGTTTGAGACAAAGTTACTCTTGGGACCTGAAAACAAGTGTCAATCCCAGTGCCGGAAGCCTGGAGACAGATTTCAACACAGAGCCCTGCTGAAGAAAAGAGGTAGAACATAGTACAGCCACCAACCTAGGAAGCCAGAGTGACTCTACCTGCAAGGCGGGCACTCTGTTGCTGGGCTTCTGGAATGTCAGTAGCAAACCAGCTACAGAGACGCGGTGGTGGGCTGCTTGATTGAAGGGTCTGTTCATCTTCTTGGTTGAAGAAACCCGAGAAGAGAAAAGGTAGTGTTATATTTCCCACAGTCCACTCTGTTCTCTAACCAGTGCAATGTGTATTAACAGTCTCAGTTGATCAGTGTTTTCCTAAGAGAAAGTGGGGTTAGATAGTGAGGTTAGATTTTGAGATCAAACACAATTTGCAAAATTGAGCTTTGGTGATAGTTAAGTTCTCCACACAACACTTACAGAAAACATAACAGGAAAAAGAACAGTAATAGTAATTGAAGGCATTAACAATTAAATGGGTCTCTTTTTACTCCGTGCTTTTTAAAATTTAGAGAGACATACCATAGACCGTGCTGGTGCCGCAAAGTACACTACCACCACCAATTTACACACCAGAGCAATTGAAGCCAGAACTTCTGGATGCTAGGCCAGCACTCTGTCACCTCAGAAATGTCTCCAGGTGGGCTGGAGAGATGGCTCAGTGGTTAAGAGCATTGCCTGCTCTTCCAAAGGTCCTGAGTTCAATTCCCGGCAACCACATGGTGGCTCACTACCATCTGTAATGAGGTCTGGTGCCCTCTTCTGGCCTGCAGACATACACACAGACAGAATATTGTATGCATAATAAATAAATAAATATAAAAAAAAGAAAAAAAAAAGAAATGTCTCCAGGTTTGGTTTCTTTTTAAAGCTGGAAAATCCAGGAGGAATAAAGGCTGGGGAAGGAGTGGGTTTGTGCAGAGATGGGGAAGCTCGCACTCTGAGACTGCAGAAGTTTCCGGCGCTCATGTCAACGGAGGCTTTCCTAGTCTAAGGCAGTTAAAAGGCCAGCACTTTTTCTTTTGAGAAAATTTAGGGTTCTATTTTGTATACAAATATGAGAAGGAGGAAGTTTTAAGACAAAGACACAAATGGCAACCAAGAGGCAAAGAAAAACAAAGGAACAGATTAAATGGTGGGATTTCTGAATTGAACACAGGTTACCATAGGACCTGGGGTAATGGAGACAATCTATGGTGGGCTCCAGAAGGCTTCACAGTAGGAGGGATTTGGACAGACAAGCTAGATATAGTATGAAAGAGGCAAGGAGAACTCGATAGGCCACTCTGGGTGGATGAGCAGAAATTCAGGAAGTAGACAGGACAGGGTTCATGAGAAGCTCTGCTGATCAGCTTTCTGATGGAAACCACTTTTAGGATTCTGTTGCAAAATGTTGGGCTGCATTTTGCTCATGGCCTGTTTCTTGGCAGGGATCTCAGCTTAACACACTATAAGAAGTGACAAAACCCTTATGAGAATTATGAGGCAGGCCCTTTTCTCTTTCTGCTTTAGTCCTGGCCACCGGAGAAGCAGGCTGTATCACACTTGGTCATTGTGAAAGAAATAGCTCATAGTATTACTGAAAACTGCTAACATACTTTCCATAGGGAATCTCCTAAGTGGGCAAAAGAAACAGGAGGTTGTGAGCTCTGCATAGTATCTAGTAGAGATCAGTAAATGAGGAGTTTGGTGTTGCCCAGGTCCAAGAGAGCAATCTTCCAACCCCCAAGCCAATTAGAAAGTGATTGTTAATTCCCCTTCTCCAACCTGGTTTGTCTTCCATCTGGAGCTTGACCCATTCCTCTGAGGTAAATCTCTTCACACAGCTGTCTTCCACGCGCCAGGATTCGGGCTCTTCAGCGAACACAGCACAGCAGAATCTCTCCACTCTGAGTGCACACACATATGAGCACACGGCTCCCTGTCTGAGAACTGGGATGAATTTGCATGTGTACTTTATCTTCTCCTGCTTCTCCTTACAGAAGTGACCAACAGGCAGCTGTCGGATGCACTTCTCTATTTCACTCTCTAGATTCTCAAGATTGCTCTTCTCTGTTTCAAAACCAATTATTTTCTGGTTTTCCCCATCTAAACCAATGAACAAATATCCCCCGTCAGTGTTTGCGAATGCAGACACAGTTTTAGGGAGAATCTCTAAAATCATTTTTTCAATCTTTTTTTTAGGGGACCTTTTAACTTCTGCATGATTGGATTCAGTGAAATGGAATGTCTCCTCCAGGGTCAACTTTTCTCTGTTAAAAAACGTGGCAAGGCATTCATCAGAGTCACATGATGCAGGCAAGCTCTCTCTTGAACGTGATCTCCCTTCAGAGTCCTTCTTGTCTTTGAGGAACTTCACTGCATCAGGACCTTTCAGTTCATATGAAGTTGACAAATTTCTCATATAGAAATTGGTTTTCAAGGTGAGGACACGTTGACCAGAGATATCCTGGATCCACTGTTTCACAAAAATTAAAAATTCCCCTTTGTTCTGCATGTAGTCTCGGTATTTAGGAGGAAATAGAACAATTTTAAGAAAAGAATTTTCCAAATCCAGTCCTATTCCATCTCTTTTGAAGCTGTAATCTGAATTCTTAATGTGAGCCTTGACCACGCCCCCTCCAGAATTCAGCAGAGTGCACACAGCCTGTGAGATGCTGTGGGCCTCTCTCCTTCTCAGCTGTGGATCTTTCATTGTCTTCCTAATCTCCTCTCCCAGTGTGATTTCTCCTACAGACAGAACCAGTTCGGCATAGTCCGTCTCCTGGTCAACGCTGATGCCCATTTTCCGAGCGCTTGCTCTCCTGTAAAACAGACGGAGCCATTAGAGCAGGAGCCAAGCAGTGAGAGCCGGCTCTGCTTTACAGAGCACAGCACAGCCGCCTGAGCTGCTCTGGATTGCTTAAGTGAGAAGGTCAGACCCGATGTTTATTTAGGGACCGTTTGAACAGTTTTGAACAGACTATTGTAACCTGTGAACTTGCTAAAATTTGAAATTGGTTGTCACGATTGTATATGATCCTCTTCTAATAGTTTTAAACTAATAACATTCTTTGTGGATTTTCTTCATTCATGGAACTGTGTTGTATAATGAACTTTTAAAAAATTTGTGGTTTATTCATTTGAATACTTTATGCATATATGTGTTGTGCCTGCACATATGTATGTGCTCCACAGGTGTGCCTGGTGCCCTTGGAGGTCAGAAAAGGGTGTTGGATGCATCAGACTAGACTTCTTGGTGGTTGTGAGCCCACATGAGTGCTGGACATCTATCCAGGGTCATCTGTAAGAGCAACAAGAGCTCTTATGCACTGAGCCAACTCTCCAGCCCCAAGAGAAGGACATGTAATGTAAATGAAGACTGCACACTGAGGATATTCTATCTGACTTTTTTTGACATTCCTATCCCATCTGTCCCCTATGTTCCCTTACACAATTTCACCTCCTCTTTCATGTCTCAAGATTTTACGGATGTGTAATCTATAAACTCTAGGAAGCACAACCGAGAGGAAATGTCTGAGATTTGTCTCTCTGGGACTGGCTTGATTCACTGAATGTGAGTATGTCCCATGGTCTCCACTCCCCAGAGTGGTTGGGATGATACTCAGGGCTTTGCATTTGTGAGGTGAGTGTTCTCCATGGGTCACACTATAGCTCCTTACTTCCTTTAATGCAGGGGTTCCCCACTCTCGATCTCCCTACAGGTGGTGCGTCTATGCTCTGGGGTCTTGATTTTCTCTTTTCATTTTCTCAGGACTTTTGTTTCTAATCCTGTGAAGTCTTCTTTGTGCCGTTGCTTAGGAGTGCTCTGCTCTGTCCTAGGACTCTGAGTTTCTGACTTTCCTTCTGGGCTGCTCCCTAGTTTCTTCCCATCATGACAAATCAGTTAGTTCACATACTTTGGGTCTTTCAAACGTCCTGATCTAGCAGGCAGTCTTCCCTGGGGAACATTTCTCGAGAGTTGACCAGAGGGCTCTGAGAATGTCTGTGGATTCCCATCTTTCACCAACATTGGGGTGTTTCCAGACATTATTTTCTTCAATAACTTCTCAACTGCTTTCTGATGTCAGGTCCTGGGGACAAATACGATTACCATGTTAGCCTTCATGATAGTGATCCATACAATGATGGACTTTGTGGGGTTTGTTTTGTTTTTCAGTTCCTTGTTGCAAGATATTTGATCACATTGTGAACCCCAAGATTGCATTACTTACTGGAAAAACCTGTTTCTAGTTGTGGTATTGCTCAGCCCTCAAGCAACCTTTAATCATAGGTCAAGAGACAGAGTAAGTAATCTCATAAAAGGAAAAAAAACTATAGAGAGTAAGAGGGAATACGGAGGATGGAGAAGCACAGGAAGTAGAAGTGAGGGACATTCATTTGAAGGAGTTTTCTTTGAGACAACATAAGAGAAAGCAGGCTTTCACCCCAAACTTCGGTCAACAAATGGTGCCCAGTGTCTAGACAGCTGCATCCACATAAAGTCTGAGAGAGCCTGTGAAGTTATTATACCCAAAAAAGAATAGAGTTGAGCATGGCTTATTGATAGCAGCATTTTCTCAGGTGGGCTCTGCTTGCTAGAGGCAAATATGTCTTATTTAAGAGAGCCTTCCTGACTCAGCTTTAGCTGCAAAACCTTTGCAGCCCTTTTAAGAGGCTCTACCACCAAACACTTAAATGCTGTTTATGAATAGCCAACAGAATGCTTCCTGGTGGCGGCACAGACCTTGAAATGCCATAGAGTTGTGGCAATAAGCACGGCTCTACCTGGCACCTCTGCCATGAGGCTGGAATCTCAGAAAGCTGAGATTGGGCAGGATCCAGCTGTCAAACCACAACTTGAATCCTAGCCATATTTCTTAGCAAATTAAAGACTCATGTGAAAAAGAGAAAAAGAGAGATATACAGTAAAGATAGATTCAAAGATGCAGAAAACCTCTCAAGGGTTTAGAGTGTGTTAAAAAAAATATGTGTAAGCTTGGGAAAGAAAAGAAAAAAATGATAAAATCCTTAAAATAAAAAAGAGAGTAGTTGGGTGTGGTGGCACACACCATTAATCCCAACACTTGGGAGTCAGAGGCAGGCAGACCTCTGTGAGTTCAAAGTGTGGTGGCACACACCTTAAACCTAACACTTGGGAGGCATATGCAGACAGAACTCTGTGAGCTCAAGGTGTGGTGGCATACATTTTTAATCCCAGCACTTGGGAGGCAGAGGCAGGCAGATCTCTATGAGATCAAGGATAACCTGGTCTACAGAGGGAGTTCCAGGACAGCCAAAGATACACAGAGAATCCCTGTCTCAAAAAAGCCAAAAATTAAATATAAAAATAAAAGAAATAGAGGTTAAAATAAAGCTACATAAAGATGAAAAGTACAGAGAGTCTGGATACTGTATGCTATTATGTTCTCTTTGAATTGTTTGAATGCTGAGGAAGGAACAACAGCAGCTAAAAGATATTTGTTTATATATGCTGCTAAATTGATCTAAGATAGGTATTTTGAAAATGTCAAGCTCGGGGACCAGTGCAGAAGACAGCACATGAAGAATGTTGGGGCTGAGAGCTGGAGGCTGCCGAAATGGGTCGTGTTGAAGAGAACTTGCTGTTCTTCTAGAGGACTCAGATTTGCTTCACTGCCCTGAGTGGCAGCGCACAACCATCTGCAGCCTCAGGACCAGGGATAAGGATCCTCTCCTGACTTCTGTGTACACACACAGACACATAACAATAAATAAATCCATTAAGATACTGTAAAAGCAAGAGGGTGAGGTGGAATATGAAGAAATGCTGTCTTCAGGACATGACGAGGACTCTGTACTCATGAACTCCCCATACTGTCAGTACAGGCACAGAAACAAGCCAACAACGTCACACCGTGTCCAACAGGCAGCACTCACTGTACTCAGGGGGTCACAGATGATTAATTAATTAATAAGAGAGAGAAGATAAGGCAGGAAAGTGTTAGGAATGGAGAAGGGGAGGAAGGGTGCATATGATCAGGATACATTGTTACACACATGAAATTATCCAAGAATAAAGAAAAGATGTTCTGTTCAAGATAATAAAATAAAAACACAGAAGTTACAGTTCTGGGTATATGACCTAAGAATTCATGTTATCATGCACTACACACACACACACACACACACACGCGCGCGCGCGCGCGTCACCTTCCTCTGCACAGCAGCCGAGCTGCTGAATCAAAGATTCTGTCAGCAGGTGCGTGCATGGGGAACACATGGCTGGCGATGCACAATCCAGACAACCACATCCTCACTCTGTACTGAGGGTTTATTCAGCCATAGCGATGAATACAATGCATCGTTGCAGGAAAATGGATGGAGCTGAGGAGTGTGATAAGTGAAGTGATACAGAAAGACAGACATCACGTGTTTACTCCCACATGCAGAATAAAGCCTCTAAAAGATATTAAAGTACTAGGGAGGAAAGAGGAGCAGGAGGGGAGGGGGAGAAGGGAGAGTAAAGAGGGGTTCCCATGACCAAAGGACATCTCATGGGTGACAGTGTCAGAGTGAAGCCCCCTTATTCAGTAAAACGAATACCAATCAATAAGAAAGAGGCTCCCGTGAAGGAAAAACATCACCACCAACAACAAATCAATTTTCTCAGCCTAACTTTCAGCCTGAGGTGTTTTGAACTGCAGCTGCTTTGCTGTACTGACGCTAGGGGGCACTCTCACACAAAATGACAGCGAAGACAGCCTTGGACAAGAGGAGCTGCAGAGCTGTGGGAGGATAAGGTGGGGCACTTCAGTGTCTTGGCCAATGGCCTGTCCCTGTTGTGAGCTAACCCCACTGAGCTCATCTGACTTCAGCGAACCGAGCTTGCAGGAGTCACTTGTGCTGTTCTTGCCAGCTCGGTGTGGATGCTCAGGATTCTTTTATGGGCTGTAGGTTTTTAGCTCTCTGAACATGTTTAAGTGGGGGCTGGAGAGATTGCTCAGTGGTTAAGAGTACTGACTGTTGCTCCTAAAGGACCTGGGTTCAATTCCCAGCACCCACATGGCAGCTCACTACTGTCTGTAATTCCAATTTTAGGGAATCTCACATACATACATGTAGGCAAAGCCCCAGTGTACATAATAATAAAATAAATCTTTAAAAAAAACATGTTTAAGAATGCTGCATATGTAATAAGTTTAAATTTTTTTAATAGTTTTTTTCCCGTTGGGTATGTCTGTGAATCACTAATGTCCCTGGTATCTTTGGCAGTCAGAAGATGACATAAGGACATCTGACTTGGAGTTACAAATGGTTGTGAGCTGCTCTGTGGGTGCTAGGAACAGGTCTTCTAGAAGAGCAGCCAGTGCTCTGGATTGCTGAGCCATCCATCCTTGTCAGTCTTTCTCCATCCTGCCTTCTTTCCATTGCTGTTAACAGAAATGAGGTGGATTCAGACTGTAAAATTCAGTTAGGAACTATGTACAGTAAAATTAAGTTCATTGAAATATGGATAACCTTATACAAATGATACAAGTTATCATTGATGCTTGATCTAAGTCTGACTGGTGAGGCTTGGAAAGAAGAGCCATGTGTAGATCTCCAGAGCCCCTTCAGGTTGCCCCATCCTCTTAGAGACATAATTTGGCAGTTTATGGAGCTACCAAGATTAAACTACATCTCTGTGGCACTAAGGGCTAAACATAGGTCCGAGGAACTCTGTTTTGACAAAGCATAATTTGGCATCGTTAACTTCTTCCCATCCTACAAACAGAGGAAAGCATTCACTCCACCAAACTCTGACAGCATCCAGGTCCCCAGAAGTCTGTGCTTTGGGAGAAGAGGCTGTGGAGATGCCAGGGAGCCAAAGACAATAAGAGGGACAGAAACTATCGAAAGTTTATATGAGACGGTGGGTTGTTGAACCATCAAGCCCTATTCATCCCAGAGCAATAGACAGGACCTGCTCTTGGGGTGAGGACAGAAAGAGAAATACAATGAGTCTGCAGGACGCTGCTGTGAACCTGGTTCACCCTACCTTGTGCTGGAATCTAGTTGCTTGAAGTTCTTTTTGTTCAAGAGAGGGAATTTCACGTTGTGCAGCCTCCTCCAGAGCAGAAGCCCTGCAAGGACGAGAGTTCCTTCAGCGCCGAATGTGGCTTCATCTGGATAAATACTTAACCTTCATGAGTTCTGGTTTTGTTTCCTTGTTGTTATTGTTTGTTTAATGCTTTCACAGAGGGAATAAAGCAGTTTTGTTCCTTTGTCTTCTTCCTCTCTCGTCCCAGAGTTACCCGAATTCTGACCTCCAACCTTGTTCCCACCTCAGGCTCCCAAGAACCCATGATCATGGGCACACCCATCACTGTTGTTATTTCTAGGGCAGAATTCAATCTGTTAGCGTTTGACTTAAGCTTCTGCATCTATGATGTTCTTCTTAGCATCACTGTTGAAAAATGCTGGTGTCAGTTTTCTGCAACTTCATGAAAGGAGGGGGAAGTGCTGGGTCGCAGCTCAATGGCAGAGATCTGCCCTGATGTGGGGACCATTCTGGACAGAACACCGTGAAGCTGTTCCATTAACCTACAGCTGAAGGAAGTACCATTTCACCGACATGATGAGCTTTCTTTCCCTCATGGGCGAGTTTATCATGGTTTGCCATCCTGGCAAAAATCAAAGTAGAAAGTTTAGAAATTTGTTTTGCTTTGCAGTCATGTTTCACTTACAATTAGTTTGTAAAGTAATGATTAGCAGCTTCCATCAAAACCCTGAAAACTGTAGCTTTTTCAAATGAATAATTTTAATACATGTGACTGGTGCTCATGGAGTTCGAAGAGGGATCCCCGGAACTGCAGTTAGGGATGTTGGTGAGCTACGATGCTGGGAACTAAACCCAGGTCCTCTGCAAGAGCAGAAAGTGCTCTGAACTTTTATACCACTCCCCCTTCCTAAGGCTGGAGAGATGGCTGAGTGGTTAAGAGCACTGGCTGCTATTCCAGAGGTCCTGAGTTCAATTCCCAGCAACCACATGGTGGCTCACTATTCCCAGTTCCTGTAATCTGCTCATTTTCATATGCATATTAATGTACCAGTGCTTCATAATATCATGACAGCTGAGACTGGAGATGGATTCCAGATGGTTAAAGTAGTATATGTGAAGATTGGCTGTAATCATAACTGAGGCAGGAGAATACTAATCATATCACTAATTTTTACTCATTTATATTTCATTTTTATTATTTTTTATTTATGCTTTTTGAGATAGGTCTATGTATACTTGGCTGGCCTCCACCCATTAGGTTGGCCACCTGCCTGTGCATCCTGAGTGCTAGAATTAAAGGCATGAGTCAACCCTCCTGGCCACAGCTGTTGAATTTCATTAGGTCCAAGGGTTCTCTCATAAGTATCCTCAAATCTACACATAGATGTGGTGCAGGAATATAAATATCTATTATGCTGGGTAGTGGGAATCCTGAGAAGATACACAAAATAATTAAATCACAGATAGCAAAAAATAAAATCCTGAAGTAATAAAACCTTTCAGGAAAGAAGTTTGACTCCAGGAATCCAGTTCAACTAAACCATGAGGATGCATCTGAATTCGTGACTCATTTTACAAGAAGGTAATATTATCTAGGACTGCAAAACCATAGAAACACTAGAGAAGTTTCTGGAAGCTGAATTACTAGGTCAAGTGATAAAACTGATTATAGTTTATATTCACCATTGGGTTTTCCCCAACAATTTTTTCTTGGGCAGGTGTGTGGGCGCACACTCAGCACCTGATAGGACACAGGCGTAGGGTTCCATATCTATTATAAACCAGCACATTCCTCTATGTTCCCCAAGTACCCCGAGCAAGGAGGAAAACACTGTCCCAAGATGAGTTCAGACTGGCCATGCATTCAGATAGGTCCCAGGTAAGGAAAGCATTGAACAAGCTGTTGAAAGTTTTCAGTCAGGCTAAAGAAAGAAGTGTGGTCTCCTAGGAGATGAACAGCAAGGAAGCCAGAGGTGTGTGATCACTCAAGTTTAAATTGAAAGCTTAACTGTGGCGTTAATGTGATATAACTGTGCAAAAACCACACAGGAAGATGTGTGTTCACATTCTGATGAGCATTCTGCTTTGTGCTACTTAGTGTGTGTTAGTGCCAGTCAGTGCCTATTTCTACACAGGAGGGCATCCCCAGATGTGAGTCACTTTCCCTAATGCCCTGACTGAGATCTTCATCTCCATCTGAAGAGCTGTCAGGAGCCAAGCATGGTGTAGGCCTTGGGAGCCTGCTGTGGGCATCCTGAGCTTGAGGCAGGCAGAACACACACTGTGAATCACAGGCCAGCCTGGGGTACACACCAAGACCCTGTCTGCCTCCCTCCCCTCTAAAATACAAAAACAGACCCACAACCAAACTAAACTGGAACTGAAGCGCCTGCACTACTAAGAAGGCTGCAGCCCTACCCTGTTTCCTGCACTGCTGAGCAGTCTCATTTCCTCATTCCATACCAGCACCCCCCCTGTCCAGCACCCTCTTTGTCAGGTACAGTCCTAAGTCAGCACCCCTAGATCACCAGCCACAATGAAGGGGCAGAAGTCATATTTCACACCGAGTACAAAATGACAATGCCCCTGAGATTATTAAAACCCGAGGGTGCTACCATGCCGTCACATTGAGAGGAGCTGTGGGCTAGCCTGGGACAATGACTATCTCAGTTCAAGGGCCCGTTTATGAAAACTGACTATGGTTCATATCCACTACCTTCAGGCACATGGCTGTGACACCGTCCTTAAAAACCAAGGCAGACACCAGAGCTCACCAATTTCCAAGACTGATGTAGACCTCACTCAAGTCCTGGAGCCCTGGGTCTAATTTAACAGGTTTCCTTCTTAAATTGTAGCATTGAGTTTCGGGACATTCTCTCAAAAGAAAACTGGGGTTCAGGGTGTCCAGTCAGCTATCTTTGGAAGTAAAGAGGATGACATTCAGATGTTCTTACTTTCCCCCAAATGCAGGTTGGTAGGAAAGCAGAGAAAGAGTGGCCAGGAGAGGAAGGACCTGCTTTCTGTGGAACAGAAGCAAACACCCAAGCCTAGACCACACTGTCTCTTTCTTTCCTGGGTTGGCACTGTGCATTTCCCTTCGAAAAGCAAAGTTCCCATCTTCTAAATTACAAAGTTCCATAGGGGCTGATTTCTTTCTGGCTCTAAAGTGCTCCTCCCCTTCCGGGAACCATGTTTTCTTACCTTGCAACAGGGTCAGGTCTCCAGGAGAATAGGGAACCCTCAAGAGACTCTAGAGAGTCACACAAGCCTGCCATACAAGCCCCTCATTACCTCCCTATTCCTGCCTCACTAGTCAGTCACAGAATGAGCATAGTAGCTTCTCTCCCTGCAACTTAAAGCCCCCCCCCCCCCAAGAGAGGAAGACATTTGCTCTCACCTCAGCTCCGGTGACTCCCAAGTCCTCAGCAGTCTGTGCTTTGACAGAAGAGTCTATGAAGATGCCAAGGAGTGGAGATTCCTACAAGGAAACCAGGTTGGGTTTACCTGAGAGGGATGGGTTGTGCTGGCAACTCCCCCACTCCACTTCCCCCAGGGGTCAGTCAGTTGACAGGCCCAGACATTGGGTGGGAAAAGGAAGAGAAAGACAGCGGGGGTCATGGATGCTGCAATGGACCTGGCTCATTTACTCAGTGTCCTGGGAGTTGAGTTCATTGAAGCCAGAGCACTGGTAGTCTTCCAGGTGTTTTTCTTATCCAGAGAGGCAGAAGGTGTGACCTTGGGTGACTAAAAACCTCCCCTGATAAACTCTTAGACAGCAACTGGCTAATATATAGCCAAGGTGTGGTTGCTTGATGCCCTGAAGTGGACGAGTTTTATGAATTAACCTGTGCTGTTCTCTGGGACTTTGAGCATTGCGTTACTCCAGGAAGTATGATGGGGAACTGTCACGCTCTGTGTAATTCTCACTCAAATGGACGAAGACAAGAACAAGAACAAACTAAATGCAAACAAACGTGAAAGTGTGCGGAGAACACAGGGACCATATGGAAGGAGAAGGGCAAAGGGAGGGTAGAGGTCCAGGGGAATTTGTTCCTATTATAGTAAATACTGACATGAAAAAAAGTTCTAATTTAATTTAGGAAAGAAATGAACTGTTTGTGGTCTCTTAGGAGGAGCGCCAGCCTTCCATCTTTAGCAGCCATCCTAGAGCAGCCTAAGCCCCAGAGCCCCAGGTGCACGAGGGCTGGGAGGAGGAGAGCAGTGAGTGTCCTGAGGAGAAAGAAGGGGCCTGCAGAGGGCTTCTTTTAGCCCTGGGTACCTGGCAGGAGCCTTCAGACAGAAACCTGGCCAGCCCAGGGTCCTATGACCACCATGTCACTACATAGTCTGTCTGCATGCCCTATGTGCCCTTCCCCATCTAAGAGAAAAACTCCAGCAATTCCCTCTCCCTCCTTCCTGTTGCTCCTCTAAAGAGGCAGCCAGGCCTTTGAGCCTGTTTCTATCTCTACTTCTCTCTCATCTGTCTCTCTGCCTCTCTCTCTCTGCCCCCCAACCCCAGTGCCTCTCTCTTTCCTTCCTTTGTACCTGTTCCTGGCCAGAGGTCGATCCCTCCCCTCTGCTCCTGCCTTCCCCCGTTGCCTTTCCCCCAATAAAAACTCCTCCAGGTAAGCTCTGTTACATGGTGTCTTTCTTTCTCATGCCACTTTTTAAATTATAACATTGGCATCGTGTGAAACTAGGCAGACTACCCTGGCATTTCCTCCTGTCTGCTGGCAATCTGAGTCATGGCCAGAACTTGCTTTAAAAGTGGCAACCCCAGTCACCGAGCAAAAGTTGCCATTCACCTCAACTACTGCCGAGACCCTCTTCAGACCGTGGACAACAGGACCCTGGGGAGTAGCTGTCTAGGTAGCCAGCAAGTAAGCGCCTCTCATTTTCAATCGCTCCACTCAGGTAAACATTACACTTCTCAGAACACTGATGCCCTTTGACGACTGGTAGCTGTGTCAGTTTAACAGCAGCAACCATGGCTTCAGCTGCTTCCTCGGGTCTCTGTGTGAAATTCAGGTCACAGGCCT